CCCCAAAACCCCAAAACCCCAAAACCCCGTGCATCAAAATTAAGCTTTAATTGAAGTATAGAGTAAATTACTCAATATATGATACTAATAATAATAATTAAACCTTTTAAGTACTAATAAAATTTATAAAACTTAACTTATTTGTGATACAAATGCAAAGTCTAACCGCTAAAATTAGCAAGAAATTTGGTACATAGCCATTTCAAACATATAAAAAATTGAATCTTACCTTTATTTGTAGAGGATTGGGAGAAAAAACAATTCTTCACACACAAGTGTATTGATGAGAAATCAGAATCATGTAATCCAGTTGAATATTTCAGAGAGACATCTTTCTTCATTGAAATGACATGTAATTTTCCTTCCACAAAACATATCTATTAGAATTATACGATGTAAAAAGTACTTGCTACAATAACGATGAAATGAAATACATGCCAATTCTTGTCTAAGTGCGTTAAAAGCAAATCAACGATTTTCTAGGCGGTCATAACTACCTCCTGCAAGTTTGGGACACCACCACCAGAAAGAAGGTCTATCAGCTTCCATTACATGGTAAAGATATGATTATAAAAATTTTTGGAGTAGACCCAATAAAGAAATGGGCAATCTGCTATGACTTCTTAATCTTCACCCTTGAAGAGGGAAACTAAAATTCAGACGCATTGCACATAGTTAACCTCGGTGATAATAACAAAGTACTTAAAATCAGAAATTTTTCAATGGCTGTGAAAGGTAACGATTTCTCATATCTTACTCCATTTTTAAAAAATATCTTTAGTTGATCACATGGTCTTCTTTTCGAATATTATTTATGTTGCTCATGGAATGAATATCAAAGTTCTTAAGCTCAGCGAGGAATAGGCCTAGTCAGAAGATGTTGATGTGGCACAGCTTTCTCAGAGTGACATTCACACTGATTCACCAATTCATGGATTTGTGCAACTTAAAAAAGAGAACAGTCTCCCATTGGTTATGTTTGAAGCCCCAGATAACCAACTTGATTTCAATTTACTTTGGATTACAGAGACTGATTCTATAAACGGTGAAGGTATCTCCTACAAGTTCCTATAAGTAAAGGAAAAGTGCAGAAGGCTATCATTTGTTGCTGATCCCATCAAGTAAGTTGAGTGCATCATCAACAATGGCCTTGTATATGCTTTTGCGCTTAGAGAATCTTCTTCTTTTGATCTCTATTATAACATGATAAGAACAGAGTCATGTGATGTAAGTTAATACAACTTCAATGTTTATCAACTACTAATCTTCTAATGTTATATAGGATTATAAGATTCAAAATCTTACCTCAAACATCAAAGGTTTCCTTTTCTAAGCAGAAGATGAGTTCTACACTCTCTATCATAAAGGAGATAAGTCTCTTAGTGCAACTGGCATCTAAGACTCAAGCTATTAAAGTGCTCTTGATCCTACTGATTTAAGTTTTGCTCACTATGAGACAATCAAGACTATCGTGAAATTCTACAGCAGTGTAGCAATGCTCTAAGAAACTCAACAAGTTGTCTTCGCTCATGATTAATACTTGTCCTACTACTGCGTAGAAAAGGATTAATTTATTGGACATGTTGACATGGGCTCAAACATTCTGCTTCTCTTTGATATCGATTATCCAAATTGGCATGAGCCATATCATTGTGTCCTTCTAGAAAACGGAGAGACAAAATATATATATGTTTGGAGTCTTGATGAGAATGGACTTCCATCTAGGTATGATAAGCTTTTGGATAATCCAATTGAAGATAAGATTATCTCTGTCATAAATGAGAAAACAAACTCTTATCCAGTCTACCTTCTCACCGAGGACAGTGATGGTGATAAATATGTTAAAGCTATCATCAAGCATGGCAAACTTGTTGATGTTAAACTTCAGGGAGAGATCGGTGAAAGATTCAACATTGTTCCATTTACCTGTAAAAAAAAGAGTTATGTACTTGTTCAAATGAATCAGGAAATTTACATTTATGAGTAAAAAGGTTCGAATGAAGATGATTTCTTACTTTCTCTTTTAATGAATCATGGTGAATAATCACAGCTAGAAGGTAATATCCACTCAGTCAGTACCAAAGATCCTGAAAAGCATTTGATACTGTTTGATGAGCGCAATGGTTATATCTTAAAAATGAACCCATTCAGTTTTACTCAAATTGAAAATGTATTTGTATCATGCTTATTATAAGATGATTAATACTAAGGATTCTATGCTTTGAAGGGTAACGACAACGACAAAAATGACGAGGGATATTTCTTCCTTGATGTCGATTCTACAGTCTAAAACAAAAATCTTGCTTTCATTCAGCTAGCTGTATTTGATATCAAGCCTGAAAATGTAATTTATAAAGGTTTCTCTAACTCAAGACTGGGATTCTTCTAGTCACTTTACAAGTTCGTGATTTCAATTATTCCAAATTAAAATATGAACAAGTTCTTCAATGCAATCAGATCTAACAATTATACGATATACAAGTAAATAAAAGATATGGTCATTGTTCTTGATGACAAGGATAACTTAATCACCTACGATGTGGTCACAGGTAAAAGAAAGAATGTATGTAAAGGCAATTTTAGTTTGGAAGGATTCAGATAGTACAATCCTAGAGGATACAAAACAACTTTGTTCTGTAAAGATTTCGAGGGAGAAGAACCTAATCTCTCTGATTATTTTGAACCTTGGCAGTTAGAAACCTTTGTCAAGAATTAGATGTCTTTCAGAATGAGCTGTGATGATTACAAGTATCGTGTCTTCCGTGAGGTCGAAATTATCAATGAAAGAGAAATGAAAATCCATATGGAATACATATTCCCAGTATCTGCTAAAAATGATGTATATTTGATTTCAAACAACAAGAAAGATCTTCTCATTGCCAGAGACTCTCTTGGCTGGACTTGTCTTTATAAGGTTATTCCAGCGAAGGACTCCGTTAGTAGAAACAAATTGGTTGTACTCAAGAATATCCCCGATTTCCCACTAAGACTTCATCATCACTATAGATACAGACTTGACTTCTTCTCACCAGATTTTACTAAATTTATTGGCTACAATTGGGATTCCAAGACCTACTATCTTGTAGATACATTTACAGGTGATAAGAACGAAATATCTTTAGATTATCTAAGTTAACATAGTGAATAATACCCTAAAATTAGCCCATAAATGGTTATCAATAGATTTGAATGGATCGATGAAAAAGTTTTCAGAATCTGTAGCGAGGACGGTCTGGAAAAGCTTATTGATACTGAAGACAACTTTAACGAAATTTCGTTCAATTAAATTCCTCTTTTCAACTAGATTGAGGGCGCAGAATGGTATGCAGGTGCTGAATATCACATTTTTAAGAGTAGAAGAGCAGCCTCAAATCCAATTGTCAAATCTAAGAGAATCTATCAAGATTATAAATCAAAATAATTCCTCTTCAAAGATACACCTAGATCAGAATTCAATCAACTTTTATTCTAGCAAGATTTTGAGCAATTTGATCATTTCTCACATAGTTTTACCTTACTTAACTGGAATATTGCAGAATCATGCTAAAACGATGATCTTAAACTTAAAGATGTCAGTGATGGTTTAATTGAAGGATCTCTTTATGCCATATTCCCTGGTGGAAATACTTTCTTGCATTACATTAGTGAGAAGCCAGATGAAATTGAAACTCTACTCAACAAATGCCACCCTGAATTAAAGTCAATTAAGTATCACATCCCTATTATTCTAAATGGTTTGAACGAGACAGTGCTTTCCAAAGCTGTAGAAAAGAAGGCTTTTAAGACTGCTAATAACTTGCTTAAGCATCTCTCTCTTTACCCAGCTGACCATCATTCTAGAGCTATTTCGAATATTTACCCAGAACTGATTAGATTAAACTTACCAGATTTTGATACATACATGGAGAGCAGATTCCAGTAAAGCTATGAAGTTGCACAAATTTAAAAACTCGCTTTGAGGGAAGAATTTGAAGAAATTCAAGTGAGCACTCCTTGGTTAAGATACAATGACCATTTCTATGACAGTGTCACAGATTATTCTTAGCCGGAAAGAAAAGTAAAAGTTGAAATTCTAGATATCTCCTGTGTTTATCACTATAACGAACCGATTGAGGATAAATTCTTTGATGCCCTTGCATCAACTGACTAGTTCAGCTATTTTGAACTTAAATCTATTCAGAAATTGATCGATTTCAATTTCCCTATCGTTCAGAAATACCTCATCAGAAAGCTTTTTATCCCATATTTCTTCTTCCTTGGTCTATATGTCTTCTTCGTATTCTTCTTATATGAACACAGATTCGATAAGACCTATGAAGCCTACTATTGGACTGTCCTTGGCTCAATTGTACTATTTGGAAGCTACTTTATGCTAAATGAGGTTAGACAAATGAGAAATGACGGACTTGAGTACTTTAAGTCAGTTTGGAATTACATTGATACTCTCCCAGTGTTCGGTATTTATGTAATGCTGGCATTCGCCTTGATTGAAGAATTCGGATTCTCTGAGGGAGAGTTCAACAGACCAGTTTAAAGAGGGTTTATTTCTATCGTAACTCTTCTGATGTGGATGAAATTCCTATACTTCTTCAGACTCTTTGACTCTACTAGTTATCTTATCAGAATTATCGTTGAGGTCGTTATTTCAATGAGATACTTCCTCTTGGTACTCTTAATGACAATTATTGGGTTTGGTAATGCCTTCTATGTAATCTCCAACGGTAATGTTGAGGATCCATTAGTTGATAACTTCTTTATTACTAGTTACCTTGACTCAATTGTCTTCTCTTACAGGATGATTCTCGGAGATTTCAATACTACTGAATTCGGTGCACTAGTGACACCCCTTTGCATCGTCTTATTCCTCATCTTCACTGTATTCAACATGATTGTGATGCTCAACTTACTTATTGCTATTATCTCAGATGCTTATGCTGCAGTTGCCGAGATGTCTGAACAAGCCACCTATCAAGAAAGAGCTTCAATGATCGCCGAGAATAACTACCTTATTCCCGATAGCGTTAAGGAGTCCTACGCCAAGCAAGGCCAATTCTTGCTAGTCATCACAGACCTTGAGAAAGAAGAAAAGCCCAAGGGAGATGATGCCATTATCCAAAAGATTGAGGAACTAAAGGCAGATGTGACAAAGCAAATTGATGAGCTAAAGTCAGAAAATAGAGTCAGCATCGGTGGAATTGATAAATCAGTTGAACAACTTCAAATCTTCTTGTTAAGCACTATGCCTAAGGATGAAATCTATACAAAGCTAACTAGCTATCCAGTTGAAAAAATGACTCTCTTCCAAGTGAGAAATCTTCACGAAGAAGGTGAATACGAAGAGTGGTATTGTCAAGGACAAAATTTCATTGGTTGTTACAGCAATGATTGTGACGAAGATGGATGCATTAATAATGATGAAACCACCGTTTATAGATGTGACTAATGCGGCTATGACATTTGTGAGGATTGCTATCCAAACTATGATGAGCCACACATTCATCCCTTGGTAATTCAAATTTTAAGCTTAATTAACTTTATTACAGGAAGCAATTCTGTTGAAAGATTTGAAAATCTAGAATCCAGCATATGAATCAGGATTTGGATGTGATGCTAGAACCTTTGAAGGATGTAAGAACAAAGGTAAAAGATACCATGATAAGTTTTCCATTCTCTATCATAACGTTGAAAATTAATTTGATCTTTGCACAGACTGTGCTAAAGTATACAAGATTGAAAATCACACTGATGCTTCTCCGTGAACGCCATTAGAGGAATAGGAGCTTTTAAATTCCTAACAAAATTTATTCTCATAATGAGAGAATTAAAATGAACACAATTGTTTTCACCCTTTGAACCTCTAAGCTAACAGAAATGTATTTTGCTTGGAGAAAAACATGCGGTAAAATCGTTGTGATAAACCTTCATTTTTAATCTCTTCATTATTATTTCAAAGAATAAATCATTTATTTCATTAATAATTAATCTTCACTAATATTAAGATGAGTGGGGTTTTGGGGTTTTGGGGAGATCGGAAGAGCACACGTCTGAA